TATTATATAGGCTATACACTGAGTGGCCAGATTATTATGCGTTCAGAGACCATAATAATCTGGCCACTCTGTGTATAGGCCAGCCATATGCAATTGATTCCATAGACCAGGGGCCACTGGTGGTCTGTGAAGTCTGAAAGGTCGGCAACCTCTGCCACAGACCATACGCACATCCTCACCATCCCCCCCACCCCCAAAGCAGACAGCCCTACACAGCCCTGCAGGGTTGGGCCAACTCACACACACACACACACACACACACACACACACACACACATGCACTGGGGAGACAGGACTCACATACACTCTCACACACCCTGACAAACCAGTCATATGCAGCCCCACAGCCAACCAGCCAACACACATGATCTTGGACCATCTGAGGCTCTAGGGAGCTCTGGGCTTCCCAGTCTATGTCTGTCTCCCCTCCCCCCAGATATCCCCGAACTTCCTCTCTCCACACATTACCCCCTACTTCCCTCTCTCCCTGCTATTTGTCACTTCCTGGGAGGCCTGGCTCAGCTGCCTCCGTCCCTGGTGGGCTGTAGGCCTTTTTTCTTCGCACACCCCCTGTAAAGGGGCACCCCGAATCTCAGCCAGGCCCAGGCCCCCAAAGACCTCACCAGCAGTGTGTGTGTGCCGGGGGGAGAGACAGACTTAGTTTTATGGGAAACTCCCCTCATGCCCAGCTGAGTCAGCCCGAGGAGACATCCTCTCCTTCCTGCTTCCAAGAAAACCCAGCCGCTTCCTCTCCAGCAGAGGGGGTGAGGGACCCCCACACCACAGAGGTGGGGAGGGAGGTAGCTGGCAGGCCAGGGGTTCCTAGGGGAGGACTTCGTGATTCTCAGCCTCTTCCTGCCTGGCTGCCTGTCCACACCCAGGGGCAGGGACTCGGGAGGTTGGGTGCCATGACTTGTGGGTTCTCGCCCTGGTTTGCCCAGGGCTGACTCACTTGCAGCCCCCAGACCAGTTTCCTGGTGAGGGCCCCACTGGTCAGTGGGGTCAAGGGAGGAGGAGGTCCCCAGACTATTTATAAGAAGGAGAAGTCCTTCGTGTCAAAGTCGAAAGCCCCACAGAGACTCGTGGGTGGGGGTATGTGAACTTCCCCCTTGTCCTGTCCCCACCCCAGGCCCTGGGCCCCTGGGTGTGGGGAAACTTGGGCACAGAGTCCTCCTCCAGATGCTGGTCTGGAGCCCCAGGGCTGGGCAGTCCCCTGCTGCATCTGGGCACCCAGGCAGGAGGCGGAGGGGGCTCTCCTCCTCCTGGGGGCCTTGGCGCCAGTGGGGCGGCATGAGGGGGCGGTGCCCAGGCCACAAGGGTGAGACTGGCAGGGGCCTGGAACCGGCTGTACCAGCTGGGCTGGGTCCCGCCCTCCCTGGCTGGCCCATTCCCCACCCCCTGCTCAAACACCCTTGCAGAGTGCATGGAGCCACCCAACTCCACTCCACATGCTAGCCTGTCTACCCTCCCACCAGCACTCCCCCCCCCCCCCCATTTCTGTGCAGAATAAAGAAGACCCTACGTGAAGGCCTGAAAAGCTTGGCATACAGTTGGTCTGATTATCCACAGTAGAGTGGCTAATGCTCTGGAGCCAGACAGCTCAGGTTATGTCTCGTCGCCAGCACTTTTAGCTGTGGAATAGGAGGCAAGTTCTTTTCCGTCCCGTACCTCAGTCTTCTCATCTGTTAAATGGGGGTACACAGCATGCATTTTGCTGGGTGGCTGGAAGCAGACAATTAGTTACTCTACTTAAATCACTTAGAAGAGTGTCTGGCCCATGGTAAGAGCCATGTAAGTGTTAGCTATTAAAATGATAATTATTATTTCTCTTGTCTGCCTATTTTAAGTGTCATTGCTGTCTGCCTGCACGGCGCTAACCCTGCCCCCAGTTTGTCTCTCTGGCCATCTCTCCCTATCCTTACCCCCACCCCCGTTCACCCCCACTTTTCTTTGCTGGGCCTTTCCTTTCATTGCGACCCCATCTGGGCCAGGATCATGGCTCTCCAATCCTCCCTGGGCCCGGCCAGCCGCAGCACTGGCCAGGGGTGACTCACTGTGGCCTCCTGGCCCGTGGGACCTGCAGGTTGGCTTCCTGAGATATACCCTCTGGCCAGACCTGCCCAGCCCCCTAACCCTGCCCACTGCGCCGCCCCCACAGGCCCCGGCCAGATGTCAGCTGCAGTTATTAGCATGGGCGGGAGACACAGGCCTTGGCAGCCGGCCCGCCAGACTCAGCGGCCACTGGAATCTCCCTTGAGCCTGGGGCGGGGGAGGGGAGCCGCTCAAGCTGGGGGAAGGCGGGTAGGGGCACCCAGGGGTCACAAGTACCTCCAAAGACCAAAGACAGGGATGCCCCCAGCTTCTAGGGGACCTTCCTCTCCAAAGCCACGGCTCTGTCGGACTTCCCCCTGCCCCCACACAGCTCGGTTTCTCTTTCGCCTCTTTCATTTTCCTTCTCTCCTCTACCCTTGGTGAGTTCTGTGCCTCCCCTTCAAAGGCTGGCGAGCCCCATCCCTCAGCATCTCTCTACTCTAAAGAAACTGCCATCCTTCGAGAAGACAGAGGTCCCTCTCAGAGAGAGACTGAGTGGCTCACCTCTTGTTCTAGTGGCTGTCATGTCTGACCTGTTGTGAAGTTCCACCTTAAGTCTAACTAGAAGCCTCACCATCTAAACCTTCTCCCAGTCCTTACTGGGAGAGGGCCTCTGCGTTCACCGAGATTCTTCCCTTGGCTTTTCAGGTCCTTTCGGATGAAGGAGGTACCTGGGGAGAGATGGACCCCACAAGGTATGCTGGATAGTTGACTGAACCCCCAGACTTAAACAGGAGTTGTGCATGAGTGTGAGAGAGGCCACCCCGGACTTTACGGGTGCTTGTGGGGAAGGGCCCCAGATCTCCAGACAGAAAGGATGGGTACCCCACCCAAGGGAGGGACAGCCTCGCCAGCCCGCTCAGGCGCCAGGGACGCCTGGAGGCATTGGTCCGCCCCTCCGCGCCCCGTCGGGCTAGGGGCGAAGTCCGATCCAGGCCCGCGGGCAGGCGGGGACCTGCCAGGCTAGGTCGGGCCGGGCTGGGCCTGGCAACACACAGCCCCATAGTGACTAGGTGGGGCCAGGCCAGGCGGCCGTGGCTGGGCCCGGGGGCGGAGGCTGGGGCTGGTTGGGACTAGCCGTCGGGGGCCCGGGCGCGCCCTGGGACCTGGCAGATGCCCGGGCTCCCAGCTCCAAGCTCGGGGCCCAGGGACAGCGCTGGCCACACCCCTTCCTGTGCCCTTATATGGGCGTCGGGGGGAGACTCCGGGGAGCGCCCCGCCCCCCCAGCCCAGTGCGGACTCCCAGCGTGTTGCCACGGCGACGAGGACCCGCTCCCCTGTGCGTGCCCCTCCGTGAGGCTAATGAAATCGTTCCCAAACTGCCTGCCTCGGAGATCGCTGTGGGCACCGCGGGCTGAACCACTGCCGGCGGGGGACGTTGACTGGAGGCCTCGGAGGCCGGGCAGTTCGGCACACCCCGATCTCCGCTTCCCCAGGTTCCTCTTCCGAGGCGCCGAACCCGCCCGGCCCAGGGCGGGGTGCAGGTCCCGTAGGAACCCAGTGACGGAGGCTGGGCCGGGCTCCTTCCCCCAGGGCTGTTGCCACACTTCCTGCCCGAGCTCTTCCCGGCCTGTTTCTAAGGAAGGAGTCGGGCAGGGCGGCCGCACCCCGGCCTCCAGGCTGGGTCCGGCTCCAGGAGCTGACGCCCAAGGTTCCTGGGGATGGACTTTGGGATGGGGATCCAGTGTACGGGCGCCTGGAGGTCACCCACACAGTGGGCATCCATCCTGGAAGACCCAGTAGTCGGATTCCTCAGGATCCTCAACCACCCTCCTTCCCTCATGGTATCTCCATCAGGGACTGACCTCCTGTCATTGTCATCTCAGCTCGGAAGCTGTGCTCCGACCCTCCTAATTCTCCTTCCTTCGGGCATCGCAAATGACCCCAGGGACCCTGACCTGGGACAGTGTCTCCTTGTCCCCCACATGTTTCCCTCAGTGCACCCCAGGACCCTCATTCACTTTCTGCACATCTAGATTCTCCTCATTTCCGGGAGACCCTCCGCCTCGCCCGTGGACTCCATCTCCCCCTCCCCACACGCAGCACTTTTCCCGGTTCAGTGCCTCCCGTGAAAACGCCAGCCCTTCAGCCCCTCTGTGCTCAGGACCCCCCACTTCATTCCTGAGTCAGGTGGCTCCTTACCCCTCTCCCATTTCCCCTGCTTAACCCTTCCCTCTCTTTTATGGGGTCTCCCGGAGTAGTAGTCACAGCCCTCCACCCCCTCTCGGATACTACCGGCCCCTCAGGCCTTCTGTGTCCAACTGGGGGTCCCCCCTACACACACACACACACACACACTTGCTCTGTATCAGTTCCTCGTGTCCCTCATCACCCTCCCCTGAGCCCCTTCCCGTGTACCTCAGACCCTCCCAGCAACCCCTTCCTCGGGCGCCCAGGGGTCCCCCTGAACCCCTCCCCCTGCAGCCTCGCCAAACCGCCCAGCCCGTGGCCGCTGTTTACAAGGACACGCGCTTCCTGACAGTGACGCGAGCCGCCTCCTCCCCTTCCCCACGCTCCGCTGCGGGAGGGGGCGCGGGCCGCGCGGCGGCCAATCAGCGCGCGCTTCCGCGGCTGCCAATCGCCGTATAAAGGCGCGGGGCTGCCGGGGCGGCCTGGACCTGGAGCGCGGCGGGCCAGCGGCGGAGCCAGCGGAGACCGGGAGCCGGGGGAAGCCACACCGAGGAGGCGAGCGCACCGGACGAGGAGAGGGGCGGAGGGGCTCGCGAAGCCAGCCGCACGGAGCTCCCGCGCACGGCAGCCGGCTGGCCTCCCCCGATCCGCGCCGGCCCCGTAGCGCGCTGCCCGACACCCGGTCCAGCCCGCCGCCGAGGACCGCGCGCCGCTCGCTCGCAGCGGCGAGGCCCGGGGCGGCCCCGCAGGGACCTCCCCACACCGCCCGGGCCGCCCGGATGTGCACTAAAATGGAACAGCCCTTCTACCACGACGACTCATACGCAGCGGCGGCGGCGGGATACGGCCGGGCCCCGGGCGGCCTCTCTCTCCACGACTACAAACTCCTGAAACCCAGCCTGGCGCTCAACCTGGCCGACCCTTACCGAGGTCTGAAAGCGCCCGGGGCGCGGGGCCCCGGCCCGGAGGGCAGCGGCGGGGGCGGCTACTTCTCCGGCCAGGGCGCGGACTCCGGCGCGTCGCTCAAGCTCGCCTCTTCCGAGCTGGAGCGCCTGATCGTGCCCAACAGCAACGGCGTGATCACGACGACGCCCACGCCCCCGGGACAGTACTTCTACCCCCGCGGGGGCGGCAGCGGCGGAGGCGCGGGGGGCGCCGGGGGCGGCGTCACCGAGGAGCAGGAGGGCTTCGCCGACGGTTTTGTCAAAGCCCTGGACGACCTGCACAAGATGAACCACGTGACGCCCCCCAACGTGTCCTTGGGCGCCAGCGGGGGGGCCCCGGCGGGGCCCGGGGGTGTCTACGCCGGCCCGGAGCCTCCTCCCGTCTACACCAACCTCAGCAGCTACTCCCCGGCCTCTGCGCCCTCCGGGGGCGCCGGGGCCGCCGTGGGGACCAGCAGCTCGTACCCGACGGCCACCATCAGCTACCTCCCCCACGCGCCGCCCTTCGCCGGCGGCCACCCGGCGCAGCTGGGCCTGGGCCGCGGCGCCTCCGCCTTCAAGGAGGAGCCGCAGACCGTGCCCGAGGCGCGCAGCCGCGACGCCACGCCGCCGATGTCGCCCATCAACATGGAAGACCAGGAGCGCATCAAAGTGGAGCGCAAGCGGCTGCGGAACCGGCTGGCGGCCACCAAGTGCCGGAAGCGGAAGCTGGAGCGCATCGCGCGCCTGGAGGACAAGGTGAAGACGCTCAAGGCCGAGAACGCGGGGCTCTCGAGCACCGCGGGCCTCCTCCGGGAGCAGGTGGCTCAGCTCAAACAGAAGGTCATGACCCACGTCAGCAACGGCTGCCAGCTGCTCTTAGGGGTCAAGGGACACGCCTTCTGAGCACCCCTTCCCCCTACGGACATCCCACCCCCCACCTCCCAGCCTGGACGGCTGGGCGCAAGCCTACCACGGGCTGAGGGTGAGGGTGCAGGCGGTGAGCACCCGCCCCGGGCCATGGGAACGCCGAAAATCACACTGGACTCCTGCCAGCCCGCTCCGCGCCCAGTCCTTCCACCTCAACGTTTACAAACCCCTCTTCCACTTTTTTTTTTGTATTTTTTTTTCTGCTGGAAACGAACTCGATTCATATTGAATATAATATATTTGTGTATTTAACAGGGAGGGGAGGAGGGGGCGATCGCGGCGGAGCTGGCCCCGCCGCCCGGTACTCAAGCCCGCGGGGACACTGGGGAGGGGACCCCTGCCCCCCACCCTCCCTCTCTGCACTGTACTGTGGAAAAGAAACACGCACTTAGTCTCTAAAGAGTTTATTTTAAGATGTGTTTGTGTGTGTGTGTGTGTGTGTTTGTTGTCCTGACTTTTTATTGAATCTATTTAAGTAAAAAAAGAAAAAAAGAGGTTCTTTATTAATTTCTGTTGTCTTTTTTTTTTTTCCAAGCCGGGCGGGCGGAGGGAGGAAGAGTACTGGGATGCCCCCGCCCCGCTGCTGCTGTTTGTGCATCTGTCACCTCGCCAGCTCTGCCCCAGCATCTCGGGGACCCCAGCCCAGCCGGGGTGCCCGGCCCAGCTCGCGGTCCCAGACCCCGGGGGGTGAGGAGGCTGGAGGGTCCAGGGCGAGGACGCTGTCCAGCCTGACACCTGGGGGCAGGATGCCCGGGGCGGCGCCGCAGTGCGCAGGCGCGGCCCCACCCAATCGCGCGCGCCGGGGCTTTCCCTGCTGACGCAACGGAAGCGCTGCCCTTATTTGGGCGCATTCTGTCCAGTGACGCGCCCGCGGTCTCCGGGCAGATTCCGGGAATCCCCTCCCCCGCTCTGCCGGGCAGGGGCCGCGGCGCCCGGAAGGAGGCCGGGATTTTCCCAGGCGGGCGGCTGCCCGGGCCCGGAAAGCCCCAGGCCTGAGTCCAGGGCGTCCGCGGTGGGTGGGCCGCGCTCCAGGGTCCGGGGAGCCGCCCCGCAGCCTCCCTCCCCCGGCTCGGCGCCCGGGCCCCGCCGCGCCCACGCTGTCTGACCTGACCCGGGTTGGGGTGTGCTCCTGCCCGCGCGTCCCCGCCACCGGTCCCCCCTCACCTCCGCCAGGAAGGGCGTCGCCCGCCTGCCAGTTTCCCCTCCCGGTGCCAGGCCAGGATCGGCGCGGCTGCCAAGTCTGGTCCTGCCGGGGTGGCTGGCCAGGCCGCGGCGCGCCCCCGTCGCTCTGGCGCGGGGCTCCTGTCCCCCCCGCAGCTGTGATGGGCATGTGGGTAACGAGTGGGCCCAGCCTCGGAGCTGGAAGCACTCAGGACAGCAGAGAAACCAGCCCACAGGGGCTGGATGGACAGAACAGACACTTGATTCATATCTCAAGTACCGAACAACCCAGCCCTGGAGGCACAGTCTAGACCACAGCAGGCAGATGGACAATAAACAAGGAAACATGATTCCCAGATGGTGGTAGGTGCTAGGGAAAGAAGACACAGGTTAAGCGGGGCAGGGTAGGTGAGCTGCTTTGGAGGACAGGCCGGGGACATAGACCTCTGAGGAGACCGCATGTGAAGAAGCCCAGCCCTGAGAAAACCTGGGTAACAGCATTCCGGGTCGAAGGAACACATGCAGTTCCTGAGGCCAGAACAAGACCAGCCTGTTAAAGAACAATAAGAAGCCAGTATGCCTGGAATAGAATAAACCAGGAGGGTGGAGCTGAGGTCAGGGAAGACCACACAGGGCCTTGGGGAGAAGTGGAGATAAAATTCCAAGGCTGAGATTAGTGACTTTGGTGGGTATTAGGCTGGGCAGCAATATTAATAATGGGTCTGGATTAAACGAGCTTGTCAGTCCTGTTCTGTGGAAGTAAATATGGGCTCAGGGTGGCCAAGTCACTTGCCTGGACACATACAGAATCAGACTGCACTCCTGGGAAAATTGCCTTGCTCCTGCCTCCTGCCTCCCAGCTGAACCCTCACCTTCCACCCTAGGGGCTGACAGGCAGCTCTTTCAAACTTCAGAGGGGGGGGGGGGGGCAGAGCATGCTCACCAAGCACGTAGCTCAAATTCCCACTTCTTTAAAAAAGGTTTTTAAATTTAGTTTTAGAGAGGAAGGGAAAGAAACACCAATATGCTGTTCCACTTATGTACTCAGTGGTTGTTTTAACGAGGGATCAAATCCCCAGCTTTAGTGAGTGGGGACAAAGCTCTAACCAACTGAGCTATCTGGCCAGGGCCTGGAGCTCCCATTCTTGGCTTGCCTAAGGATTGGGTCCCGATCCTTTTTTTATTTTATTATTATTATTAAATATATTTTATTAATTTTTTACAGAGAGGAAGAGGGAGTTAGAAACACCCATGGGAGAGAAACATTGATCAGCTGCCTCCTGCACATCCCCTACTGGGAATGTGCCCACAACCAAGGCACATGCCCTTGACTGGAATCAAACCTGGGATCCTTCAGCCTGCAGGCTGATGCTCTATCCACTGAGCCAAACTGGTCAGGCATCCTCTTTTCCATAAGACTGGACTCTTCTTCCAGGCCCAGGTACCCTCCCTAGTAACCATTCACTGCGCCCTGAGCTTTATATATTTTATCTCTTCCTATTTTTATTTCTTGTTAACCCTCACTTGAGAATATTTTTCCATTGATTTTTAGGGAGAGTGGAAAAGAGAAGGAAAGACAGGGAGAAACATTGATGTGAGCCGAAACAGGTTTGGCTCAGTGGTAGAGCGTCGGTCTGCAGACTGAAGGGTCCCAGGTTCGATTCTGGTCAAGGGCATGTACATTGGTTGCGGGCACATCCCCGGTGGGGGGTGTGCAGGAGGCGGCTGGTGGATGTTTCTCTCTCATCGACATTTCTGGCTATCTCTCTCCCTTCCTCTCTGTAAAAAAATCAATAAAATATATTTTTTAAAAAGAAAAAAGAAACATCGATGTGAGAGAAACACATCATTTGGTTGCCTCCTGCATGAGCCTTGACCAGGGGAGGAACCTGCCACCAAGTGCCCTTGACTGGAACTGAATCCGGAACTCTGGTCCGCAGGCTGAGGCACTATCCACTGAGCCAAACCAGCAAGGCTCACACTTATATCTCTTTTAACATGAATGGTGATCTGGCTTGGTTGTATTTATTTCCATTTTCCTGATGAAGAAAACCAGGAAAGGTCGCATCTCTTAAAATAACATGTGGGGACTGCCCTGCAAGGCCAGGTTCGGGGACTTGCTCAAGGCAAGGTGCAAATAGCAACTCCCCCAAACTGCCCTTAGGCCAAAGGAGAGAGAAAAGTGTATTATGAGGTAACTCTGCCACCCTGTGGTGCAGATAAGTAAATACAGCGTCAGTTTCTCAGGCCAAAGCTTAAGGGAAGGGGGTGGGATACATGGATGGACAAAAGACAGCAGAACAGACCACACCAATACAGGCTCACAACCTGTCCCTAATACTTTATTGGTCACCTCTAGGCCTGTGCACGGTTGGGGAGTTCCTGCAATGGGTCACCATTCACCACTCAGCTAGGAATAGAAGAAGGCCTTAGCCCTTCAGGATCAGGACTGAGGAATTTGAAGGGGCAGGCCTGGCCTTTCCTGGGCCAGCACAGGCACACAGGGATGGGGATGGGGGCCCAGAGCCCAAGCTTGGCATCTGTCTGCCAGCCTAACTGTGTTTGGAGAAGTATTCCTTGCTATCATCCACGTCAGGCTTGATCGTGTCACTACCTGGCTTCCAGTTGGCGGGACAGACTGTGGGAAGACACAAGGACGCACAGGTGAGGCGACAGCCCATAGTCAAGGCGGGGCAGCAGTGAGAGGCAAGGTGAGATCCCGCGTGGCAGAGGAAAAAGCCCAGAGCCAAGGGGTCCAGGCTCAAGACCACATCACATGTTGACAGAAGCCCCCAAGGTTATAACTGATATTTCCATTTCTTTTTGGCCCCTCTAGTCCCATCTTTTCCCCTCAGCTCCATCCCTACTAGACTCTGAGAGGCTATGGTCAAACTGTGCCCTCCACCCAAGAAGGTAGTCTGATCCAACTGATTTTATTCAAATTAGTTGAATAAAATACCTTTTTACTCACACATCTTCTAATACCTTTTCTATCACTTTTATTACTTCCCAGCGATCCACCCTCGCATTGGGGTAGCTCCCCAATCAGACTAGAAACTTCCTGCAGGCGAGGCCACGAGCTGAACCTTCTTTGGAGCCTTCACACCCATGTTACATAGGTGATAAAGCAGACAGGGAATGTCTACATGAGTGACAGAGAGGGGCATGTGAATGTGTGTGTGTGTGTGTGTGTGTGTGTGTGTGTGCACTCACCTTCCCCATGCTCATCTGTGTACTGGAAGGCCTGGACTAGCCGCAGAGCCTCATCCACAGAGCGCCCCACAGGCAGATCGTTGACAGTGATCTGGCGAAGGATACCCTTGCCATCGATGATAAAGAGGCCCCTGAAGATAGGAGGGTTCCCAGTGAAAAGCTGGTAGCTCCCACTGGCCGGTGGAGGGAGCACCATCTCCCACAACCGGCTAGGAGCTAATGGCAGGGAGGGCATTGCCCAAGCGTGGTCCCCTCACCCGGAGGACCCCCTTGTACCTGTAGGCGATGCCCTCATCTTCCTTCAGCACGCCATAATCATGGGACAAACTTCTGGTTATATCGGCCAGCAGGGGGATGTTCAGGGGGCCCAAGCCGCCCTCCTTCCTCGGGGTGTTAATCCTGGGAGTAGGGGAGACAGGGCTGGGACCTCAGGATGCCTGGCCCCAGCAGGGTCCTCACCCTGGGACCTGGGTGTGATAAGGGCGGGCGGGAGACGGGGTGCTGGAGGAGAGAGATAAGGAAGTCCCACCCACCCCACCCTGCTGTGAGCGCGGGGGCCTTTTCCCACAGCTGGGAAGACTACGCTAATGCTCTCGTTCCAGCAAAGTGGCTTCACCTTCGCTGGTGGCCACTAGCATCTTGGGGCAAAGCTGCCCATCCTCCTCTCTCCAGCTGAGTTCTGGGGCCCAGCCCTCCACTCCCTTGAACTGGAGTTGCCGCCTTCTTTAAATAGTTGTTGGGGAGAGAGGCTGCTTTGCCCTAGTGAGATAAAGCATTTGCAACTTCGCACCAAGCACCTGGATTCCAAATGCTAATTACCTCTGTCCTCGTTAAGGACCTGGGCGTCATTATTATTTCCATAATTTTCTAGATGGGGAAGGGAGGTGCAGAGGTTGGGCAATGGCGCTGGAACACACAGCCGGGACCCTGTGGGAGGTGTAGGTTTGGCTGCGTGCAGCCCTCCCTCCCCGCTGGCCCCCGCTCCTACCAAGCCAGGTGGGTGAACTGCGAGTCCACGGAGACCCCCAGCACCTCGCAGCCCAGCTTGCGGAAGTCCGCGGCGCGCTCGCTGAAGGCGATGATCTCCGTGGGGCACACGAACGTGAAGTCCAGCGGGTAGAAAAAGAGGACCACGTACTTCCCTGGAGGAGCGGGGGGAGAAGAGGGGACAGAGGAGGAGGATTGAGGGCCCGGCGCCCGCGAAGCCGGGCCCCGCCCCCCACCTGGGCCCCCTCCAGGCCGGCCTCACCTCGATAGTCGGAAAGTTTCACCTCCTTGAAGGCGCCCTCCACCACGGCGGTGGCCTGGAAGTCCGGGGCGGGCTTGCCAATGTGCGCGTTGCCGGTGGCCATGACTGAAAGCTGAGACCCCCGCCCCCCGGCCTGGTCAGTGCGCCCGGGGAGACCCTTTGTCCGCCTCCTCCCCAAGGTCACACCTGCGTGCCGGGCCCGGGGACGGAGTCAGGAGGCCGAAGGCAGGGCCACTGTCCGGAACCCTCCCCGGGACCGGCTGGACGCGTCTTTTGGGCCGCGGGACACCCCTCCCTCCCGGCCCACAAGGGCGGCCCGGCCGCGGCCGCCCGCCCGGCCTCCCGGGAGCAAATGGACCTGGATGCGCGGGCGCGGGCGCGGGCTCGCCGCCCCGGGAGGAGCCCCCGGGAGCAGGGGGCGGAGAGCAAGCCGAGCTCCGGCCTCGATTTCCCATCCCACCCCAAGGACAAAGGCGGCCCCCACGGCGGGCGGGGAACAAAGGCGGCCGGGGCTGCGGGCTGGAGAGGGCCGCGGAGGCTCCAGGGGGCTCCCCCCCAGCCCGGCGCGCCCCCGGAGGCCCTACCTGCGTGGGAAAGGAGGGGACGCACACACCCGCTCACCCGCGTGGACCCGCGTTCTCAGCGCCGAGTGCGCGCAGGACGCGGAGCCTTATAAGCGCGGCCGGGCCCGTGACGCCCAGGGCGGGGCGGGGCGCCGGGAGGAGCGGGCGGGTCCACAGCCGCCGGAGGGGAGGGGACCGGCCGCCGGGTCTGGGGGAGCCGCGCAGCCGCGGGCCGCGCCCACGGTGCCCACCCGTGAGGGCAGCGCGGGGGGCGGAGAGCAAGATCCCGCGCGGGGTCGGCCCCGGAGCGCGCCGGGAGCGGTTGGGGTCCCGCATGGACCGGAGCTCAACCGCGCTCCTGCTGAGGCCTCTGCTGCTCCTGCTGCTGGCGACCCCCGCGCGGGGCTCCCCCGTCTACCACTACTTCGGGGAGCAGGGCCAAGGCGACACGTGGGAGCAGCTGCGGCTGCAGCAGCTGGGGAAAGGTAACTGTAGGCGGGGAGAGGTGCCCCATCGCCCCACGCTGCCAGCTGGCTGCAAACGGACCCTCCTCAGCGGGCTTCCAGATCTCCGCCCAGCTTTGCGCTTGGGCTGGCCGCTCTTCTCCGAGGCTCAGTGTTCTCATCTGTCAACCGAAACAGAGACCGCCTTTCCGCAGCTTACAGGTGGAGAGGGGGCTGGACCCAAGCAGACAGATCCACAGGCACATGGATAGGTGGTAGGAAGGGCAGAGACAGAGAAAGAAGGGAGCAGGTCCATTTCTTTCTTTTTTTAAAAAATATTTTATTGATTTTTTTACAGAGAGGTAGAGAGAGGGATAGAGAGTTAGAAACACTGATGAGAGAGAAACATCCATCAGCCGCCTCCTGCACACCCCCCACTGGGATTGTGCCCGCAACCAAGGTACATGCCCTTGACGGAATCGAACCCAGGACCCTTCAGTCCACAGGCCTACGCTCTATCCATTGAGCCAAACCAGCTTGGGCAGCAGGTCAATTTCTGAAGCCTGAGCAGGCCTGGCTGAAGAGGATAGGTAACCAATGTAGCTGACATGACAAGAAAAGCAAAAGTTGAACGATGTAGGGGGAAGAGTATTGCAGGGAGTGGAAAAGCATGTGCCAAGGCCACAAGGCCCGATGGAGTGTAACCAGAACCCAGGTTCTGCCGCCTGGTGCCACGAAAGCCAAATTTGTGAGCTAGATGCTGGTGAAAAAAAGAAAGAGGTTTATTCAAGAGTTGGCCACCTGAGAAGACAGGGGACTCTTGTGGAAAAGCCCATCTCCCCATCTCAGAGCAGGCCGGAAGTTTGTATAAGGAGGGAGGGGGAAAGCAGAACAAAGAGCTCCAGGGGAGGGGGTTGAAAAGTTCTCTGCTGGAAGGCCAGCATGGTCCATGCTGATAAGAACCTCAAAACTGGTCAAGGGATGGTCTGGTGAGCGTGATCCTGGTTTTTGCCATCCTGGTTTGACCACTGAAGGTGGGCAATTCTAGAGCTGGGATGAGTGTAGGTCAGCATCTGTATCTTCTGAGGTTAGTCCCTCTTATTCTTTTTGTTGTTGTTGTTAATCCTCACCTGAAGATATGTTCTCCCATTGTTTTTCAGAGAGAATGGAAGGGAGGGAGAGAGAGGGGACACACACTCACACACACACACACACACACACACACAGAGTATTCAATGTGAGAGAGTTCCTAGGATTATTTTACAAACATGCTGTTTACCTACAAGTTACATAGTAATCAGAGTCACCATCTACAGAAACAATGTCAAAAAAAAAAATGGTGGGATGGGTTACAATTTATCACTGTTACAAGAAAAATGAAAGATGCTAGTGTTCTGTGATGGAGGTTTGGTGAGTTGAGGCCTGTCTCATAGAGGCTAGAGAGAAGTCAGTAAAAAAATAAAACAAACCCTGTTTAGGGAAGTGTAAGTGCTCTCAGTAAGTTGTAGTTGTTTTAAAACTGATTATACTCATTGTTTTATTTATTTTTAAAAAATATATTTTATTGATTTTTTTACAGAGAAGAAGGGAGAGGGATAGAGAACTAGAAACATCGATGAGAGAAATATCGACCAGCTGCCTTCTACACGCCCCCCACCAGGGATGTGCCCGCAACCAAGGTACATGCCTGTGACTGGAATTGAACCTGGGACGCTCTATCCACTGAGCCAAACCGGTTTTGGCCATACTCATTGTTTGTATTCCATGAGCTAGCCCAGTGCCAGGGGCTTTAAGTATTGTCGTTGTGCTAATCATGTTATTTAATTTACCAACTGACAGACCTGCTGGTCAGGTGTCACTTGCCAGCTAGACAGGCTCATGATCATGTCCCTGAAGATGAATCAGCTTCTGAGGGTGGGCACAAAGGGAGTTGTGCCCCAGTTCCCACTGGCACAGGTGGGTCAGTTTGCATCTCTCTGGGTTGCTCACCAGATGTGTGAACTCGGAAGGGTGGCTTGCTCTTTCTGGGGCTCAGTTTCTCCACCTGGGGCTAATGGAATATTCTGTGGCAAGGCCCCTGGCACAGAAGCACCACCCTGCAAACATGAACTACTGCTCAGCCGGTGTGGCTCAGGGGTTGAGCATTGACCCATGAACCAAGAGGTTAATTGGTTTGATTTCTTCATGATACATACAGGTTGTGGGCTCCATCCCCAGTAGGGGGCATGCAGGAGGCAGCTGATGAATGTTTCTCATCGATGTTCCTATCCCTTTCCCTCCCTCTGTCTCTAAAATCAATTTACACACACACACACACACACACACACACACACACACACACACAACAAAACAATAAAAAACAAAAACAAAAAAACCTCCACATGTTTCTCTCTCATCCCTAGACCGAACTGTTGCTGTCAGTGTTTTTAGCCTCCTCCCTCCCTAGGGTAGGGTCTAGGGGTACATAGATCCCCCCACACACATACCCCTGACCCTCCATCTCTAGACGAAGAAGACTCGATCCTTGGCCCGTGGGGAAAGTGGCGCTGTCTTTGCGACCTGGGCAAGCAGGAGCGCAGCCGCCAGGTGTTGGGCTCAGCGCCGGATCCGGTGTTCATGGACCGCGAGAACCTGGTGCAGGTGCTGCCCTGCCGGCAACGAGATTGTTCGTCCTGCAAGCCAATGGACTGCGACTGGAGGCCCTGAGTCCGGGTTAGAGGCGGGCTCAAAGGGGGCGGACCGGACGGGGTGGGTGGGAAGAAAGGAAGGACAGGGGGTAGAGTGTGTGTGTGAGGGGGGATGGAGCCCGCAGAGGGGAGGTGGGCATCCGGAAGGGAGAACTGGGGCCCTAAGTCTAGGGCTTGAGGGTGGTGGAGTAAGGAGAAAGCTGAGTCCGGAGATATGAGCAGAAAGGACGATATCCAGGCAGAAAGGAAGAAAGATAGTGGAGGAAAACATGCTTGGGCGGCGAGGGGTCCCCAGGAGGGGTCTGGGTAGGGGGGCAGCCAACCTGGGCTGGAAGGGATTGGTGGCTGGAATGGGTTTGACTGGGCTCTGTTCCTCACTGCAGAGTCAAGTGTAATTACGGAGGTAGCCGTGGTCCCCAGGAAGGGACATGGGCCTGGTGAGAGCTGGGGACCCACAGGCAGAGGAATGGGCCCTGATGAGACCAGAAAATAAGATGGGGGCGAGGAGAAGGGCGGGGTGGGAGACAACATGACTCCTGATATACAAGAGTCTATTGAGGTTTTGGGATCTCAGACCTCGGTTCGGAGGAAGAAGAGGCTTAGTCCGAATGAGAAAGAGGGCAGTAAGGAGAGAGAGAGAGAGAGAGAGAGAGAGAGAGAGAGAGAGAGAGAGAGAGAGAGAGAGAGAGAGAGGTGGTCCGAAGGCCTGAGCCGAATGGGATGGAAACAGCTAGCCCAGGGTGCCTAGACTTTGTAGAGTGACAGGGATCGCGGCTGCAAATGGCCTGAGTCCAGGTGGGGGACGGGAATTCTAGGAGGGTAGTGTAATGGTATTTCATCTTCTAGGCCGTTCCCTTTCAGTTCCGCTCAGTTTCCCGTTTAATCCCCGCTTCTCCACCAGCCCCGGCGGGCGGGCTCGGGAGCACTCCGAGCGGAGCTTCGAAAGCTACCCCTCCCACCCGGTTTTCCAAATTCAGAGCGCGGTGGTGGTCCTTGGGAACTACAATTCCCAGCACCGCCTACGGCAGCGGCGTCGGCGTCGGCTGAGCAAACGTCACGGCGGCGGGAGAGTTGGGGGCGTGTCCTGCGCGCTGATTGGTCAGGTCCAACCACTGCGGAAAACGCGCGCCGCGACCCGCGCCTGGAGCCCTGGTTCCCGGCGGATGGTAGGGGCAGCCGAGGCGGCATGGATCTCAGCGAGCTGGAGAGAGACAATACGGGCCGCTGTCGCCTGAACTCGCCTGTGCCCGCAGTGTGCCGCAAGGAGCCGTGCGTCCTGGGCGTCGATGAAGCGGGCCGGGGCCCGGTGCTGGGTGTGTCCCCAGGGCACCTGGGGTGGAGGAGGGACGTGATCAGGGGGATGCAAATTGCACTGGAATGGGAGCCAGGAGTGCACCGGTTTCGTTGTGTGTGTGGTGTGATAGCCATGGCATAGGTGATGGCGCCGGAAAAAAGTGGTGACAATGGAACAAGGATGGCGGCTTTCATGGGCTCACTGGTTGGACCCCATTTTTCCAGGCCCCATGGTTTACGCCATTTGTTATTGTCCCAAGTCGCGCCTAGCAGATCTGGAGGCCTTGAAAGTGGCAGGTGAGCCCTAGGTGTGTGTCTGGGGAAGGAGGTTCCTGGGCATGTGCGGGAGCGGATGTGAACTGGAGGGAGAGAGCAGGAATTGGGAGAACCAGCTGACCCCCTTCTCTCCCAACCCCTTTCCCAGACTCAAAGACCCTGTCGGAGAGCGAGCGGGACAGGCTCTTTGCGAAAATGGAGGAGGATGGGGACTTTGTGGGCTGGGCCCTGGATGTGTTGTCTCCAAATCTCATCTCTACCAGCATGCTTGGGCGGTGAGGGGTCCCCAGGAGGGGCCTGGGTAGGGGGGCAGCCAACCTGGGCTGGAAGGGATTGGTGGCTTGAATGGGTTTGACTGGGCTCTGTTCCCCACTGCAGGGTCAAGTATAATCTGAACTCTCTGTCCCATGATACAGCCGCTGGGCTGGTGCAGTATGCATTGGACCAGGGTGTCAACGTGGCTCAGGTGAGCTAACTGTTGGGTTGCTCCATTTGGTCATCTCAGGATAAAGTGGGAGTATGAGTGCACTGAGCAATTCAGCATCAGGCATTTGTAATACCTCAGGAATATTTATTGACTGTTGACTTCCTACTGCTTTTCCTACCCTAACTATGTGACCTGCTAAGGACCTCCTGTGGGGCCCTAGCCCCACCCCCATCTCTATCCTAAAAGTTCAGTGTCCAGAACAAATCCAACATCTGTCTACCTGTCCTTGTCCTAGCCCAGGGCACTCTCGAGTCCTGGATGCTTGCTCATTCTCTTCCCTGGTTCCCCCACTTCCAGCCCCCTTTCCTACAATCTGCTCTCGAGCACCAGCAGCTGACAGTCTTTTTTTTTTAAATGTAAATATCAACATTTAATTTTCTGAGCACAGTGGAAATTAAATCAGGAACATTCACAGCCAAGGGGAGGCAAATGAGATTAAATTACCAGAGAGAAATATAAGTTGGCACGGTATCGAGTGCTCTGAGGCAAAGAACCAGCTGTTTTGAGAGAATGACATGGGCAAATACACTTGAGGGAGGGAATGGAACAAGAGACGCCTTGCTGAGGAGGTGGCGGAGGTCCAGAAATAGAATGTGGAGCTGACGATGCCATACTGAGCAAACAGACAAGGGCCCTGCCCTTGGGTTCATGCCCAAGTCAGGGAGATGGATGTTCAGCTGGTAAACAAATAATAATGGTGATTTCTGAGAACAAAAACTACTACGGAGATCACTTTCCCTCTTACCTTGCTGCTCCAGCCACAGGGCCCCCTATCTCAGGGCCTTCCCACTGGCTGATTCCTCTGCCTAGAACAGTTTCCCAGTTTGGCTCAATGGATAGAGTGTCGGCTTGGGGACTGAGGGGTCCTGGGTTCAATTCAGGTCAGGCAGGGGTATGTGCCTTGGTTGTGGGCATATCCCCAGTAGGGGGTGTGCAGGAGGCAGCTGATCCATGACTCTCTCTCTTGGATGTTTCTAGCTCTCTATCTTTCTCCCTTCCTCTCTGTACAAAATCAATAAAAATATATTTAAAAAATAATAATAAAATGACAGCCTTTTCACCCAGCTGGTGTGGCTCAGTGGTTGAGTGTCAGCCCATGAACCAAGAGGGCACCAGGTCAATTCCCAGTCAGGGCACATCCCTGGGTTGCAAGCTCAATCCTCAGTAGGGAGCATGCAGGAGGCAGCTGATTGATGTATTCCTCTTGTTTCTACCTCTCTTTCCATTTCCATTCCTCTATAAAATCAGTAAAAACTGGGGGGAAAATTACAGCCTCTTCCAGTTCTTCCCTATCCTTTATAATTTACCCTGTTTCTTTTTTTTTTAAAAGATTGTATCAATTTATCATTTTAAAAAAATATATTTTTATTGACTTCAGAGAGGAAGGGAGAGGGAGAGAGAAATAGAAACATGAATAATGAGAATCATTGACTGGCTGCCTCCTCCTGCACACCCCCTACTGGTGATCAAGTCCACAACCTTGGCATGTGCCCTTGACCAGAATTGAACCTGGGATCTTTCAGCCCACAGGCCGACGCTCTATCCACTGAGCCAAACCAGCTAGGATTTATCCTGTTTCTTGTCTGTGGCCCTCACCACGGTGTCCCCTTCATGAGAACATGGGTTTTTGTCTGTTGTGTTCATTGCCTTGTTCCCACTATTTTTTTTTTTTTTAATATATTGGTTTTTTACAGAGAGGAAGAGAGAGAGATAGAGAGCTAGAAACATTGATGAGAGAGAATCATCAATCAGCTTCCAGTTGCATACCCCCTACTGGGGATGTGCCTGCAACCAAGGTACATGCCCTTGACCGGAATCGAACTCGGGACCCTTCAGTCCGCAGACCGACGCTCTATCCACTGAGCCAAACCAGTACGGGATGTGCAGGAGGCAGCTGGTTGAAGTTTCTCTCTCATCGACGTTTCTAGCTCTCTATCTCTCTCCCTTTCTCTCTGTTAAAAATCAATAAAATACATATATATATATATATATATATATATATATATATATATATAAAATATAAAAAAAAGACTCTTAGGGAGGTGATCTTGAGCTGAGACACCCCCTAGGAAAAATGCAGTCTGGGACGAGCCAAGAGAAAACTATTACAGGCAGTGGGAACAGCAAGGGCAAAGACGATGAGGCTGGATCGTTTGCACAGTTATTTGTTCCAATGTTTGTTGACTGAATACATTTGTGCCACCACCGTAGGTGTTTGTGGACACGGTGGGAATGCCAGAGACATACCAAGAGCGGCTGCAGAAGCGCTTTCCTGGCATTGAGGTGACAGTCAAGGCCAAGGCAGATGCTCTCTATCCCGTGGTCAGCGCTGCCAGCATCTGTGCCAAGGTTAGCCCCTCGCTGTCATGTCTGGCTCCCAGCATCCCTTTAGGCATGGGACAGGTAGGGATGCCCCGAGGGAGGGAGATCTCAAGTGCCTGTCTTGCCCACAGGTGGCCCGAGACCAGGCCGTGAAGAACTGGCAGTTTGTGGAAAAACTACAGGACCTGGACACTGATTATGGCTCAGGCTACCCCAATGGTGAGCAGACGGTGGCAGGGGCTGCGTTGGGAGCTGTCCTGAGGTAGTGATACTGGTGATAACTCTGACAAAGCAGTGCTGAGAGTGGTTCTGCTTACCCGGCTCCACAGTGGAAGAGGCTGAGGCCCAGACTGGGGGCCATTTGCTCACAGCCAGCAGCCATCATGTGGCAAAGCTGGTTTCCGGCTGGCAGGCTCCTTCCTCCCTGTTTCCTTCCTCTCTCTGCTCTCTGGAACCCCAGTGAGAGACTGAGGCCCATGGCGGGTGGTGTCTGTTTGTTAAGGGGATGGGGGCAGGGTGAGGGACACTGGCTTCTGTCTCATGGCCCAGCTTAAATCCACAGTTTTCTCCCCAGTATAAGACTCACTTTCCTTGTCTGACATGGAAGTGGTTGTGTTCCCCCAACACACACACATAGAAGGGCAGGGTTGAAGATTCAGTGGTTGGATTCAAGGAACCCCTTGACCGTTCTGAGGCCCAGGACGAGCCTGGCAGGTGGGTGGGGCAACACACCCTGTGATTGGAACTTGGGTGAGGCCAAAGTGAAGACATCAGGTTCAGGCCAAAAGCAGTTTGGCCAGCATTCAGTGCCTACTGAGAACCTGATGCATGCTCTGTCCGGTCAAGCCTTGGGGATACAGCTGTGAGCAAGACAAACAAGGGTTTCCCTGTCCCCACTGAGCTCATGGTTACATGGGAGGTGGGGAAGGGGGAGTTAACCTGATGATCCACAAATGCTGGTTTAATGACTATTGTCCCATGGGGTAAAGGAGGTGTCTCAGAGGCAGTCTTCTTCAACTGTTGGCGGGGTAGAGAGTCCAAGAAGAACTGCCTTGCAAAGGTCCTTGAGGCAGGAAGATGGCTAAGGTAGTGCAAGGTGCCTTAGATACTCAGGAGGCCTGAGATGAGATGGTGGGGCCTCAGATGAGAGTCGAAGGAGCTGGGGCTTTGTGATGGGGCTCAGGGGCTGTCAACATTGCCCACTCCACCCCTTCCCTAGATCCCAAGACGAAAGCGTGGTTGAGGAAGAACGTGGAGCCCGTGTTTGGCTTTCCCCAGTTTGTCCGGTTCAGTTGGCGCACGGCCCAGAGCATACTGGAGAAGGAGGCGGAAGGTGTTCTGTGGTGGGTGTCCCAGAGGCGCTGTGAGGAGGGAGGGGAACTAGGGCTTATCCCAGCCTGGGAGGGGGCACCCCCACGACTCCTCTCGCCTACAGGGAGGACTTGCCAACAGAGGATCAGGAAGGACAAGGGAGGATTACATCCTATTTCAATGAAAAGCCAGGAGACCGCCCCCCCCTCCCCCACCGGTACTTCCAGGAACGCGGCCTAGAGTCAGCCACCTCTCTCTAAGAGCCAGCCTGTACCCCTTTTTCCTTCAGTCTGTGATTAAAATTGCTTAACGAAAGCCAAGCATGGGGGTTGTACTTTGGGGTGGAGGTGGCTGGACCCAGCTGCTGACTTTTGTAACCTAACCAAGGTAGTGGGCACTGGTTGGTTGATTTTATTTTAGTTTTTTAAAAATGTATTAGGACTTATTTGAGCCAAAATGAGGGCATATGCCTGGAAACAAGATCTCAAATGCTCCCTGGTTTTATTTAAAAATTCATACTTGTGCCAAAACCAGTTTGGCTCAGTGGATAGAGCACCGGCCTGCAGACTGAAAGGTCCCAGGTTCAATTCCGGTCAAGGGCATGTACCTCTGTTGTGGGCACATCCCCAGTGGGGGGCGTGCAAGAGGCAGCTGATCGATGATTCTTTCTCATCGATATTTCTAACTCTCTATCCCTCTCTCTTCCTCTCTGTAAAAAATCAATAAAATATATTAAAAAAAATTAAAAGTAAAATAAAAATACATACTTGTGTGATACACAATTAGGAAGGAGCGCATTAAGAAGCACCTGCCCCAGCTCACAGGTGGGCTTACCTGGTGTCTCAGTCTGTTTGGGCTGCAATAACAATATACCACAGACGGGGTGGCTTATTAACATCAGACATTTATTACAGTTCTGGAGGATGGAAGTCCAATGTCCGGGGGTCAGCATCCTCGTGTTCTAGTGAAGGCTGTCTTCCGGGTTGAATACTACCAAGTTCTCACTAAGTCCTCACCTAGGGGAGAGGGGGAGGGATCTCTGTGGGATTCCTTTTTTTTTTTTTTTAAATATATTTTTATTGATTTTGTACAGAGAGGAAGGGAGAGAGATAGAGAGTTAGAAACATCGATGAGAGAGTCATCGATCAGCTGCCTCTTGCACACTCCCTACTGGGGATATGCCCGCAACCGAGGTACATGCCCTTGACCGGAATCGAACCCGGGACCCGTAAGTCCCTCTATCCATTGAGCCAAACTGGTCTCGGCTTTTTTTTTTTTTTTTTTTTTTTTTGTGGATTCCTTTTATACAGGCATGTATTTCACTCCTGACAGTTCCACACTCATGACCTAGTTATCTCCCAATGTTCCACCTCTTTTTTTTTCTTTTTAAATATATTTTATTGATTTTTTACAGAGAGGAAGGGAGAGGGATAGAGAGTTAGAAATATCGATCAGCTGCCTCCTGCACACCTCCTACTGGGGTTGTGCCCGCAACCAAGGTACATGCCCTTGACCGGAATCGAACCTGGGATCCTTCAGTCTGCAGGTCGACGCTCTATCCACTGAGCCAAACGGATTAGGGCGAATGTTCCACCTCTTAATACCATCATCTTTAGGGGTTAGGATTTCAACACAGGAATTTCAGAGGGGACACAAACATTCCGACCATAACAGGTGCCTCCTGGGCCCTTCCAGAGATAACCCATGTTACAAACATAAGTACAGGTATCTTCTTTCCCAAAGTTTTGTTTTGTTTTTTTTTTTTACACAAATGGGAGGAAACGATACCCTACATAGGTGCACCTTCCTCTTTGTGCCGCGTATATCTTGGAGGTAATTCCAAATGGCCATCTGAAGACCGGCATCATTTGCTTTACAACCGAAGAGCCCTCCGTGGCCTGACTATCCCGTAGTTTAATGCCTCTTAATAGACACTGAGTTGTCGCTCAGCTGGCTGTTAAACCTGCATAGTGGGGAATTATGGAGATGGGCCATCATTTCTTGTGCACAGCTTTGTAGGGCAAATTCCCAGAGGGTGGGCTGCTGGGTTAGAAAATCTCTGTGCTAATAACCTGGAGAAGAAATACTTTCAGATTGCCCTCTGTGGACACTTGTACCTAATGGCACTTCCACCAGTGACGTGAGCACTGAGGGCAGGGGATGAACCTGATCTGTTTCAGCAGTGCCTAGACACAGGAGGCATCCACCAATCTTGCTCTATTGGATTAAAAGAGACCGGGCCGGTTTTCCAGGCGAGGATGAAGAGGAGGAGGAGGATTAGGAGTAGTGCTTACAATCCATATCCGAATCCTAAGCCCAGCCCTTTGCCTTAGGGCTTTGGAAGAATGGGGAGGGAGGGAGGGAGGCGGCTTCTTGTGTGTCAGGGAGCTTCTTGCTGGCTGCACACAGTGGGAGAACACACCTCCTCCCCCGTCAGTCCTTCTCCCTCCCCCGCCCCCCATTTCTAGCACCTGAATATCCCAAATGGCACACTGCTGTGAATCAGTCCCCAACTCGGACCTGAGGATTCGAAGGGAGACACATCAGTCTGGCAACTATCTTTCCCACCTGTTTCCCCAAGGGGCTGCCGCATCCAGTGCTCTGATGGACCTTATTCGGGGGAGAGGGGGAAATGAGCTAGAGTTGAGTTTCTCTAGTAATCTGCAGAGGAGCGCCTCTCTGGGGTTCTAGCGAGGAGGGACCTTGTGGCTCCAGAAACTAGAAGGCCGAGAGGGAGAGGGGTGGGGCTCCGAGGGACTGTTGGGGCGGGGTGGGGGTGGGGAGTGAAGGGACGCTTCTTCCATCGAAGGCCAGGCGCCCCCTAGAGGCCGCTGCCGCTGCCGCTGCCGCTGCCGCTGCCGCTGCCCGCGATGTCCTGGATCCAGGCGCGAGGGCGGCGGAAGCGAGGACCGGAGGTGTCCCGGGCCCTCCGCCCCTGTCTGCGAGTCGGAAGCACCGAGATGGACATGTTGAGGCAGTCACCACTGCCAGGAACGACCGCCGGCAGCGTGTAGCCCAGGACCGAGCGGCAGAGGTCCCTCCCGTCAGTGAAGGTCTGGGAGAAGAGGTGGAGTTAGCTCAGTGGCCTTACAAAGGGGAAGACTGGGAGTTCCATGAGAGGAGGGGTCTGGGGAGGACAATTCTCGCTTCTAGTTCTTCCTGGGAGCCTGGGGGAGGACCCATGGGGGTGGCAGGACTTGAGGAGGGCGAGTAAGGGGCTGGGACCTTGGGAAAGGTGAATGGGCTTCTGGATCTTCAGACTGTGGATGGGCCTAGAGCAGACAGTCCCTTGGGAAGAACAAAATAGGCCTTGGGCCTTCGGGAGCCTGCAGACTTAGGCACGTGTATTCCACCGTGGGGTTGGGCTGTAGAAGGGGAAGGGGAGAGCAGGGGTTGGGGATGCTAGGACAGACTCCGGCCTAGGCCACAGTGAGGGGAGGTCTCGGCCTCCTCCCCAAGCCCTCCGTCCCATGCTCACCTGCCCGGAGGTGCTGCAGCTGGGGTTGCAGTCCCTCTTGTCCAGGGGTGGGAACCAGGTCGGGCCGCAGGTGATATCACCTTTGCAGATGGCAACCCTGGGGTTGGTGTGTGGAGAGGCAGTGGGTAAAGGCTCTGCAGTTGCCTTCCAGTGGGATTCCTGCTCTCCAAGGATCTTGTGTCTCTCCCCACCCTCTTCCAGGTCCTGCCTCTTAGTACCACGCCCCTACAAACACCACCCTCAGGTTTAACCCCGCCCCATATTCTCCCCTTTCTGCCTGGCTTCAAACATCAGGCCTCATACTTTAGAACTTGGCCACATCGGAGGAAGGCTATGTCTCTTCAAACTCTAGGACCTGTAAGCTGCAGATCCTGCCTTTGGCCCCACCCACAATATAGGCCATTCTTCCCACCTCCTACCAGGCATGGCAGAGCTCGGGGCAGAGCAGCTGTGTCTGGTGTACCCCCAGAAGCAGGAAGCGGAAGTGACTGCGGAGAGCAACCTGGAGGTGTCCCAGAACGGATTCGCACCTGGACTTCGGGAGAGACAGGACTGGATGGGTCAGGATGCCAGGGGGCTCTGGCCTCTGGTTGGGGCAACTGGAGCAGAAAGAACGAGGAAACACTGGGGGATGCTGTACTCACCTAGGGCTAGGCTTCCTGCAGCCCTCCGAGAGGATTCCAGGTTCCAGTGCCTCTGCTGTGTCCATCTCTGAGGGACAACAAACAGAAAAGGGAACTTTTTTTAGTTGGGGTTTTGGATCCTCATGTAGGGTTGACCTCAATAATCTAATTCCTCTCAAACATGAAACAAGACACTTTGAGGTGCAAGTAACGATAACTTACCATAATCAGCTAATTATTTTTATGTCCCTAGTAGTGGTATAAGTGCTCAAATGCTTGCATACACTCCTTTACAACACCCCTACGAGATAGGTCTATTTCTCCCATTTTTCAAAAAATATTTTTATTGATTTTAGAGAGGAAGGGAGAGGGAAAGATAGAAACATCAGTGATGAAAAAGAATCATTTATTGGCTGCCTCCTGCACACCTCACACTGGGAATTGAGCCTACAACTCGGACATGTGCCCTGACTGGGACTCAAACCCTGACCTCCTGATCCATAAGTGGATGGTCAACCACTGAGCCATGCTGGCTAGGCTCTCCCATTTATTAGTGGCCCACATAAGGCCCGCAGAGGTTAAGTGACTTACCTAGGGTCACACAGCTACACAGTGTCAGAGTTCATATTTGAACCCATACAATCTGACTTCAGAGCCTATTATCTTTGACTACCACCATTCTTTTTTTTAAAATATATATATATTTATTGATTTTTTTACAAAAAGGAAGAGAGAGGGATAGAAAGCTAGAAACATCGATGAGAGAGAAATATCAATCAGCTGCCTCTTGCACACCCCCCACTGGGGATGTGCCCGCAACCAAGATACATGCCCTTGACCAGAATCGAACCTGGGACCTTTCAGTCTGCCAGCCTACGCTCTATCCACTGAGCCAAACTGGTTTTGGCGACTACCACCATTCTTAAGCACTGGCCCAGGCTGCCCACCCTGGTCACTCTAAGGTTCTGTTATAAGGAAACTGTCATTGCTGTGGTGGAGTGTGCATTCTTGAGAGTTAGGGGTTAGGCAGGGTCTAGAGTGCTCACCTGCTAGGTGCAGCTGGCTGGGACCCAGATTAGCTGCCAGCCTGTGGCGTCTCTGGGATCTGATGGGGAGTGCACGGCCCCCTCCACAAGCCCCTAGCAGGATCCATGCCACGGTCAGTTGCAGGACCCAGGCCAGGCCCCTAGGTCGTGCGCAGCCCCTGCAGGCCATGTCCACCTGAGATAGAGTCAGCTCAGTTATGGGGGAGGTTGGCTGTCCTTTTCTGGGAGCTCAGGGTGATACTCTATTTTTTATTTTATTGACTTAAAAAATATTTTATTGATTTTTTTACAGAGAGGAAGGGAGAGGGATAGTTAGAAACACCGGTCAGCTGTCTCCCACACACCCCCGCCCTGGGGATGTGCCTGCAGCCAAGGCACATGCCCTTGACCGGAATTGAACCTGGGACCTCTCAGTCCGCAGGCCGAAGCTCCATCCACTGAGCCAAACCGGTTTTGGCTATTTTATTGATTTTTTTACAGAGAGGAAGGGAGAGGAACAGAGAGCTAGAAACATCGATGAGAGAGAAACATCCATCAGCTGCCTCCTGTACACCTCCCACTGGGGATGTGCACGCAACCAAGGCATGTGCTCTTGACCAGAATCGAACCTGGAACCTTTCAGTCTGCAGACCAACGCTCTATTCACTGAGCCAATCCGGTTAGGGCAGGGTGATACTCTTGATGTACACTCAAGACATGGTACAAGGCAGAGCAGTTGGGAGGTATTGACCAAAGACCTTAAAACCCCAGGGGGCCCAAAACTGAAACCGGTTTGGCTCAGTGGATAGAGCGTCGGCCTGCGGACTGAACCCGGGTTCGATTCCGGTCAAGGGCATGTACCTTGGTTGCGGGCACATCCCCAGTAGGAGGTGTGCAGGAGGCAACTGATCAATGTTTCTAACTTTCTATCCCTCTCTCTTCCTCTCTGTGAAAAATCAATAAAATATATTTTAATAAAAAACAAAAACCAGGGGGCCACCAAGGCCTGTCTCTGACCCAGAAGCCCCCTCCAAATCAGTCCCAAGTGCTCCCCAGTTTGAGCATACCGCCCCACCCTGCTTATGTCCACCAAGACCTCCCACTCTTTCAGCTCTTGGACGACCCCCTCCATCCTCAGAACTGAGGGGACATCTCCAGCTCTTTTAGTGTCCTGTCCAGTAAGTCCTATTTTCTGCTCAGCCTCCTCCCCCGTCTCGATCCCCGCTGGCCCCTCATGGTCACCTTCTCAGTCTACAATCGGCTTAGGACTGCTACTCAGGGCTGGGCCTTTGGAGCCAAGCTTGGCTGTGGCAGGACTCGGGTTCTGCCGCTGGGCCCCAAAAATGGCAGGTCAGAAGTCTGAGAGTCTGCGGAGAGAAGACAATTCCCCCCCCCCTCCTATGCCCCTTTGGGGCCCCTCTCACCTGTTAGCTACACGGTCCAGGGTGCTGCTGAGACACCTCAGGGTTAAGTCCAGGAAATGGACTAAAGGGGCGTGGTTTCCCAGCGCCACGCCCCCCGCCCCAGCTGACCAGAGGCGGGAGGACCTGGGACTGGTGTATGTACATACATCCTTGTCTTTGCCTTTATTGTCAAGTTGTGGCATAAACTATGGATGTCTATGTGTGGGAAGTGTGTGTCATGTCAAATGAAGGTGTGTTTGTGTGGCTGTGTGTTGTGTATTGAATGTATAATATGTTGTGTATCGTTTTTAAAAATATAGTTTTTTATTGATTTCAGAGAAGAAGGGAGAGGGATAGAGAGATAGAAACATCAATTATGAGAGAGAATCATTGATTGGCTGCCTCCAGCACACCCCCTACTGGGAATTGAGCCCACAACCTGGGCATGTGCCCTTGGCTGGAATCGAAGCTGGACCCTTCAGTCTGCATGCTGATGCTCTATCCACTGAGCCAAACTGGCTAGGGCTATTGTGTGCAGTTTATAAGTGCCTATTGCTTGTATGGCTGTGTATGTGTTTAAATTCTGGATGAGGTGAACTGTATGTGTTCCAAGCCAAGTGTGTCCAGTTGAGTAAGAATCAGGTAATAAATGTAGGGAAGGGGAGTATAGAATCAGGTTAGAATGGGTGTCCTGTGAAAATGTTGGATCAGTGAGTGGATAGTCAGTAAATTTTGTTTTGTTTTGTTTTAATTTTAGTGTTTTTTTTAATCCTCACCCAGGGATATTTTTCCATTTATTTTTAGAGAGAGTGGAGGAGAGAGGGTAAGACAGAAAGGAAACACATTGATTGTCTGCCTCCTGCACAAGCCCCAGCCAGGGCCTGGGCCAGGGAGGAACCTGCAACCCGGGACCCTACAGTCTGCAGGCTCTTTCTACTGAGCCAAGCCAACTAGGGTTAAAGGTTGTATGTGTTGTTTTTTTAAGTTTTAAACATATATATATATTGATTTTAGAGAGGAAGGGAGAGGGGGAAGAGAAACATCAGTGATCATAGAATAATTGATTGGCTGCTTCCTGCATGCCCCATATTGGGGATTGAACCTGAAACTCTGGCATGTACCCTGACCAGGAATCAAACCGTGACCTCCTGGTTCATAGGTCAAGCTCAACCACTGAGCAACACCAGCCAGGCAATGGGTAAAGGTTGTTGATCATAAATGTTGAATATGAATGAACAAGAGGATGTTGTCCTGTGTAGAAAGAGTGTGTCTGCATCTGAAATATGTATGTGTGTCCCAGTTTGTGTAAATGTATGTCCCTTGAAAACATTTCTTCAATTCATTCAACAAACATTTATTGAGCACCTGCTCTCCCTTAGATTCTGGGGATGCAATAGTGAACAAGACATGGAAATCTCAATCCTCATATACCTGACATTTTAGTAGGAGAGTCTGATAAGAAAAGCAGCCCTGCTGAAACCGGTTTTGCTCAGTGAATAGAGCATCGGCCTGTGGACCAAAGGGTCAAGGGCTAGATTCCAGTCAATGGCATGTACCTTGGTTGCAGGCTCCTCTCCAGCCCAGGCCCTGGTCGGGGCTCATGCATGAAGCAACCAATTGCTTCTCTCACATCCATGTTTCTGTCTTTCCCTCTTCCTAAAAATCCATTCTTCCTAAATATCAATAGAAAAAATCCTCAGGTGAGAATTAAACAAAAGAGGGGGAGGGGGAGGAAGAAAATAAAAATAAAACAGACCTGCAGTTGGCATGGGAATATGGGTGTGTTTCCACGTGTTGTTTTGGGAAGATAAATGTGTCTGCATGTTAATGAGAGTTTGTGTATAGCTGAGCTTCCTTTGGTTTTGGGAACTGTGTGTGCATGCCTGTGTTTGTATGTGTTGTTTGTGTGTGTTTGCACTTGCTGAATGTGTGTGTTTGCATTTTCTTTTTTTTCTTTTTTGTTAAAATATATTTTTATTGATTTTTCTTACAGAGAGGAAGGGAGAGAGATAGAGAGCTAGAAACGTTGATGAGAGAATAACATCGACCACCTGCCTCTTGCACACCCCCTTCTGGGAATGTGCCCGCAACCAATGTACATGCCCCTGACTGGAATTGAACCTGGGACCTTTCAGTCCGCAGACCGACGTCCACCGCTGAGCCAAACCGGTTTCGGCAGTGTTTGCATTTTCTAAGTAGAGTGTGATTTTATGTGTATATATGTGTGTGTCTGTTTGCTGAGTATATGTGTGTGTATTTCCATGGAGTATTTGTTTGCAGTGTATGTATATATGAGTATGTGAGGTTGAGCATGTGTTCATATGTTCATGTTTGTGTGTTTGCAGAATGTATGTGTACATGTGTCTGTGTCTGTGCTTGTAGTGTGCATATGTGTGTTTTTGTGAGTGATTACCACAAATATCTCCATTTCTTCTCAGGCTAGTGCAGAGTTTTTGTCGATTTTACTGACAGTTGTACTTCTAGATCCCAAAACATTAATTTGCACAAACTAGGTGCTCAATACAAGTTGAGTAAAGGAGCTAATTAGGAGGCACTGTTTTGGGGTTCTTCTGTGGGCATCCATTGATATCCTGGAGGCGTCAGCACCAAGATCTAGTGAACCTAACCTACAACCATTTTGGTGTAGTCCAGGGTGCTCATAGGTCTATGCCTCCTGCCAGCCATTCCTTTCCCCTCACCTCAGCCCCCAACCCTGCGTGCAGCTTTCAGCACCGTGGACAGGAGCTACCGATAAATCAGCACCACGGAGAGCACTCACAACAACAAAAATGCGGACCAACAGAAATGAAACATATTACTTAGGCAAAGGCTCAGAGATGAGGGGAGAAGTCTGGGTGTTCTCCAAGGAACACCCAGACCTAGTCCTCTCCGTCACACTATTGACAAGCTCATGTCGCTGCTGGCTAGTGACCACGACCTCCAGAGCGCCCAGGCCAGTTATGGGTGGGGACTCTTGGGAAGACCCCAGTTTCCAATTCCTAGACTTGGCATGGAAAGCTCTTAGGAGCTTTCCTCTCTCTGCGGAGCATGGTCAGTATGGCTTCAACTATGGGAACACTGTGGAGGAGAGGCAGGGGGGTTGAAAATCGCTCCAGTTGCCCATCTTCCCAAAGACCAGCTAATCATTCCTATAAATACAGCCTGGCGTGGCCTGGCCTGGCTCTTTAATCCTGACAGGGAAGGAGGGGGTCACCAGCGAGGCTGAAGAATCTCTATTTGGGAAAGGAGAGCGGTGTGTGGATGTAAATGTTTTTAGGAAGGGGCACCTCCCGAGAAGATGAATCTTCTTGGTGAAAATGCCACTTGAAAATGTCTCCTTGGGATATGGGGAGTCTCATGGGCGGGGACAGTTTCCCACAGAGAATAGGGCATTTAGGAGGTCGCTCGCTGGGGTTATCCTCCCCACATGAAATGTCTGTCACCCGTGGAAACTTTGCAGGAATGTTTCTTCCCGGGGGGCGTGTGAGAGTCGGACTCACCTCTCAGTGACCACCTGTCTTAGGAACGGTTTTCTGGGTGAGGAGAGTTTGATTGGCCAGGGCCTCCCTATGGAGACTCTGTCCCCGTGGGAATGTGTCCCTGAGAGGGTCGCGGGGGCGCTCCCACGGGAAACAGATCTGTGAGGATATCGTTCTAGGTATTTCTTGGGTTGGGGTCTACCCATGAGCGTGTCTCCCCCCTGGAGTACCCCCTCACAGGGGTCTCTCCACAGCTGGGCTCTCTCTCCGGGTATCCGGAGGCTCCTCCCCCGCATCCCCCACCCCCAGCGCCGGGGACCTTGGCCGAGGCCGGGCTCCAGCGCCCAGACGCAGTGACGGTGCCAGACCCGCCCCGCTTCGCTCCGCCCCCGCGCCCCCCTCCACCCCCAGCCGCCGACGCCGCGGTCCCCGCGGCTTCCCATCCCTCCCTCCTCCCGCCGCCGCCGCCGCCGCCGCCGCCGCCGCCGCCTCCCTCCTCCCTCCCCGGGGCTGCAGCCGCCTCTGCCGCCATGGACGACTCGGGCCTGATCCGCCGCCGGAGGCTGCAGGTAGGCGGCTGCCGGGGCTGGGCGGGCGGAGAGGAAGGGGTCGGCGCCCGGGGCGGGGCCGGGCCGGGGGCTGGAGAACTTGGGGTTCGCCTCGGCGCCCCCTCACCTGGCCTCGGGCTGCTCCCCGCTCGGAACGCGGTGGCCGAGCGTCCTGCCGCGCTGGGAGCCCCGCCCCTCCGGCGCCGCCCGGGGATCCGGGCATCGGGAGGAGGGGGTGCAGCTCCGCACTGAGGCCGGCCCGAGGGGCGCCTGGCCCCCCGGAGGGGACGAGGGCCGGGGCCGGAGTCATCCCCCTGGAGCTCCGCCAGGCTCAGGGTGCGGAGGGCTAGAGCAAAGTTACTGCCCCAGGGCTCCGGCCCCTCGGGGCCGCCAGCACTACCGCAGCCGTAAACATGTTTGTGCGGCAGCCTCGCCTCTTACCTACCCCAGGAGCCCCCTTTTAGAGGTGCGGGGGGACCCTCCTGAGACTCCCAGGCACCTGCCCAGCCACCAGGATGCTTCCTACTGACCTAATTGGACAGGCACCGAGACAGCCTCTCTCTCTCCATTGCACTCCCCTCCGCCACACCTCCCCCATCCTCAAGTCCAGCGCAGCTTGTGGGTGGGCGGGAGAGATTTTTAGCTCCTCGCAGCCTCCGAAGATGCTGGTCTCCAGCCTGCGCAGGCGCGGCGGCGCGGGTCCACTGCTCGGAGGTGGACACTGAGGGCTGCTGTGGAGTGTGGGAAGGCGGGGACACGCTTCCAAGATGGGCGGGGATGGTGAAGCTGAGTAGGGTCTTCCCCTGTCTTCGGTGTGTACTTCTAAGGGTTCCTATAGGGGTCTGGCGCTGCTCCCAAACAGACCTCAGAGAGAAAACTGGTCAAAGCTTCACCCCAAGACCTGCCTGGGATCTGGCCCTTATGAGCCTTTGTGGAGCTCAGTCCTGTGCTAGATAGTCTGGAGGGGGTTAAATAAAGCCTTACAGAACCCAGACCGAGGCTGCATCTCTTGCCTGGAGCTTGGGAAAAGAAGGGGGAGGGGGGGTTGTTTCAAACCCTCACTCAGGGCCTTGTCCTTTTCCGGACTTCTCTAACCCGCCATCCCTGAAGCTGAAGGCCAAGGTGAGCTCATCAGTCACTGCAGCAGGAGAAATCGTGGTCAGACAGCAGGAAGGACTTTCCAGGTGTCTGGATGATGCTGGAGCCAGACCTATGTTGCAAAGCTATTTTGCTTTCAAACAGGGCTCAGAAGGCCTCACCTAGGAGCCTTGGACTCTTTAAGTCTTCCCTCTCCGTCCCAGGGCTGACTTAGGAAAAAGCGTTCTGAGAAAAGGGAGGGAGCTGCGGCAAAGCCCGAGCAAGTGCTGACGGAGCCAGACTGGGTACGCGCTGTCGGATCTCCAGGAAAAGGGAGGGAAGGGGCGGTGCCTGCATGAAGTGTGCCTCCGCCCCCCAGGCCGGCGCCGGCTCCCATTGGCTCAGCGCCACGCGGGATTTCTGCCTCCCGCAAGACCACACCTCCAGCCCAGGATCCTCCCCCTCACCCTCCAGTCCACCGGAGGCTTCCACTAGTTCCCGCAACTGGCGCGCGAGTCCTGCTCCTACCTTTTCCCTTCGGCAGGATTGGGTTAACCAGTTCCTTGCCTGGATACACCCTCGCGCTGGTGCAGCCCCTTAAGAACTTGTCCCACCACCTGTGAGCGATCGGGGTCGGTTGGACAGCATCCGGGTTCCAATGCCCTGTTCGCAGCGCCGTCCATGAATCCCAGGGAGAAGCAGCGTCTGCTTGGCAGAGCCATTCTGCAGCTGGGGATGGATGTGACGTCTGTTACACTGACGCCAAGGACCCAAATCCTCTACCGCTCCAGCTGCCCCTTGGTTCGACCTTAGAATGGTTAGGAACGCTAGCGGATGGAGCTGGGTTTGAGGACTCCGGGAGGTGCTTCCAGGTTCCTCAGGAGCTCACCTCCAAAAGCCGAGTGCACCCAGGTCTCGGCTGCACTGGGGCTCCGTGGCCAGAAAATCCAGGTCTTGGTTTCACTTGGGCCATTGCAGTTGCGCAGCCGGCCAGGCTGATCCAACATGCAGCTCATTCAAGCTGATCCTGTGAAGAAAGGGGGAAAACCCGGTGTGGATTTAAAGTCACCCAGGGCTCCATGGGGCAGGACTGCTGCCGTAGACCCCAACCATACCTGTGTCCTCTGTACCTGGGGGTGGGATGTCCCTCTGGCCCATCTTCTGTCACGCAGGGTGTCCATCCACAATAGTTCCTGTTGCTAATAGTGAGCATTGACTATGTGCTAGGTATCATGCTGATACCTGCATCATCACACAGAATTCTCTTGGAGGCACAACGATTAGAAGGTCATTTGCCAAGAGGCAAAACTGGGATTCGGACCAGGGCTTTCTGCTTTCAAGAATCCCAAAGATGATTATTTTCCTCCCGATTGGACTCCCCCAAAAATGGGTTTTTGAAATGGTCGCCCGAATTTTGCAGCCCTACCCAACCCCCTTTATTCACATCAGCCTGTGGACTCAGAACTGGCTGGAAGGTGGCACCCCTCTCCCCATTGCTCTTGGAAGAGTTCATACCTATAATTGCTGGTCCC